CCCGGCGCCCCTCACCCTGCGTGCCTCCCCTCACCCAGCGGTCCCTCACCCCGCGTGCGCAGACCCCCCCCGCCCGGCGGCCTCTCACCCCGCGTGCCGTTGAAGAAGAGCGTCTGCCGGGCCGGGTTCTGGATCACCACGATGGAGCCGTCGTACCGGTGCAGCCGGCAGTTGATCTCGGCCACGCCGCCCTCCACCACTGTCATGTTCTCCGTCTGCACCTCCTGCGCCAGGGCTGGGCGGGCGAGAGCGGGGGTCAGGGAGAGACCGGGGGCTCAAGCTGCCCCCCCCCCACGTCCCCCTGTAGCGCCGAGGGCGTTCATCAAACCTCCTGGCGTCACAACTACCTCGATGCATTGGAGCATTGGGCCCAAACCAACTCCCTGAGGACACATGCCAAACCCAGCCCGGGGTCAGGGAAACCGAGATGAGTGACTGGGAGCCCGCGGTGCCAGGCCGCCGGAGGAAGGCTGAGACTGGTGGAGGGAGGTAGGGTGACCAGATGTCCCAATTTTATAGGGACAGTCCCGATTTTTGGGTCTTTTTCTTATATAGGCTCCTATTACCCCCCAACCCCGTCCTGATTTTTCACACTTGCTGTCTGGTCACCCTAGAGGGAGGCCAGGCCCCAGACGGACTCCTGGGTCCGGTTCAGGGGAGGTCGCACTTTAGGGAGGAGCCAGACCTGGAGAGGATCCCGAGAAAGCAACAAACCCCCAGGGCACATCTGGCCGAGCGGGCGGCTGACTGGTCGGCCAAGGCCGGGGGCCGTTCTCACGGGACCGCGGATCATGGCAGGACAAGCCAGGCAGAGCGCGGGTCGGCGCTAGCGGAAACCCTCCCGCTCCCGGGTCATTCAGGCCGGTGCGGGGTCTCTGAGACTCTGGCACCGCAGGGTTAAGGGCAGACCCCTGCCCGGCTGGTCCCGCCCGGTGTCCGGCCCAATGCGGCGATGATCATACGGGGTGTGTGGAACAGATGGGCATGGGCCCCTGCCCTATGAGCCGCCCCCGGAGCCGGCGCTGTACCAACCTTAGCTGGTGAACGGCCCGGGAGGGGAACCAATCCTGGGGCCGGCCGGGGGGGTGGCACCTCCTGGTTTGCAATGACCCAGCCCCAGGGAGCGGATCCCCCCTCACAGCCCCCACCCAGACCCACGGCCACCAGCCCTGCCCCCGCCCCCAAGATTTTGTAGTGATTGGTTACATGTGGCATGAGAGTAGGGGGCGTGGCTTGTTGGAACAGGGGCGTGTTCTATGAAGATAGGGCGGGGCTAAAACATCCTTGGTCCCCCATTGGCCCATAGGAGGCCAAGGCCAGTTCATGCTGCTATTTCCGCCGCTTTCCCATCCCACCAAATAGGCCGATGGCGACTGTCACGTGACCTTTGACCTCTGCCATGAGGCCACTCTCTGTCTTTGGCTTAACCTCTCTCCCGGTGCGTACCCAGGAAGCCCCGGCTCGTGTCACTTCCTGCTTCACTCCCACCCGTGGCTGCGTATTATGCCGTGTAAATTACATCATCACCTAGCAACAAACGTGGCCGCCCCTTGGCAACACGGACAAACATGGCCACCCTCTCCTGTACAACACAGATGAAAACCGGTCGCCCTGGGGACTGTTGGCCCCTCACGGACACTCAGTGGGGTTTGGTTGCTGGCTCCCAGTACCAACAGAAAGGGGACGGCCAATGGGGAGAGGCCAGCACTCCAGGTCAGCCTGATTGATAGGGCAGGCAGGCCAATGAGGAAGTCAGGAGGCCAGGGGGGTCCCGTCCTCTGTGTGAGCTGGGGCAGCCTGGGCCAGAGGGGCAGAGCTAAGGGGAGAGCAGTAGCCCAGGAGCTGTACTGGAGGCAGAGTGGGGCTGGGGCTGGGTGTGGGGTCCCCATGCCACGGAGCGGGGTGACGGGTTTTCCTGCCCCATTTCCTCCTTAGTTTTTAATCGGTTGCTGTTTAATCAATTGTATTTGCTTGAGCTCTGTGCGGTGATCAGTGGGCCAGGGAAGCACCCGGAGCAGAGAGAGCCCCCGGATCCCGGGCCCCGCCTGGTCAGGTTTACGAGGACTTATTTAATCTTTTTATTACTGACCTTGGCACAAAAAGTGGGAATGTGCTAATAAAGTTTGTGGATGACACAAAGCTGGGAGATACTGCCAATACCGAGAAGGACCGGGATAGCCTACAGTAAGATCTGGATGACCTCGTAAACTGGAGTAATAGTAATAGGATGAAATGTAATAGTGAAAAGTGCGAGGTCATGCATTTAGGGATTAATAACAAGAATTTGTGTTATAAACTGGAGATGCATCAGTTGGAAGTAACAGAGGAGGAGAAGGACCTCGCAGTATTGGTTGATCACAGGATGACTATGAGCCCCCAATGTGATCTGGCCGTTAAAAAGGCGAATGCGGTCTTGGGATGCACCAGGCGAGGTATTTCCAGTAGAGATCAGGAGGTGTTAGTACCGTTATACAAGACACTGGTGAGACCTCATCTGGAATACTAGGTGCAGTTCTGGTCTCCCATGTTTAAGAAGGATGAATTCAGACTGGAACAGGTTCAGAGAAGGGCTACTAGGATGATCCGAGGAATGGAAAACCTGTCTTATGAAAGGAGACTCAAAGAGCTCGGCTTGTTTAACTTAACCAAAAGAAGGCTGAGGGGAGATATGATCGCTCTCTACAAATATATCAGAGGGATAAATATCAGGGAGGAAGAGGAATTATTTTAGCTCAGTACCAATGTGGACACAAGAACAAATGGATATAAACTGGCTACCAGGAAGTTTAGACTTGAAATTAGACGAAGGTTTCTAACCATCAGGCGTGAAGTTCTGGAAGAGCCTTCCAAGGGGAGCAGTGGGGGCAAAACATATCTGGCTTCAAGACTAAACTTGATAAGTTTATGGAGGGGATGGTATGATGAGTATTTGGCAATTAATTGATCTTTGACTATTAGCGGTAAATCTGCCCAATGGTCTGTGATGGGATGTTAGATGCGGTGGGATCTGAGTTACTACAGAGAATTCTTTCCTGGGTGTCTGGCTGGTGAGTCTCGCCCACATGCTCAGGGTTTAGCTGATCGCCATATTTGGGGTCGGGAAGGAATTTTCCTCCAGGGCAGATTGGCAGAGGCCCTGGGGGTTTTTTCGCCTTCCTCTGCAGTGTGGGGCACGGGTCACTTGCTGGAGGATTCTCTGCACCTTGAGGTCTTTAAACCATGATTTGAGGACTTCAGTAACTCAGACATAGGTCAGGGGTTTGTTACAGGAGTGGGTGGGTGAGATTCTGTGGCCTGCGTCATGCAGGAGGTCAGACTATACCATCATTGTCCTTTCTGACCTTATAGTCTATGAGTCTATGACTCTGCACGCGGGAGGGAGGAAGGGGAGTCCCCGAGCTCAGGCAGGGCTCAGGGGGAAGGGAGTGGGAGCGAGGTCTCAGATCCTTTCGCCAGCCCACTGCACCGGAACATGTATGAGCCAGGAAAGTTCCCCACCATAGCGGGACTCCCCACCTGCACCAGGAACTGCAGGTGGGGAGCTGGGGTGCCAGTGGGTTGGGGCCTGTGGGTCGGGATTGAGGGGCACCGGCTGAGCTGGGGGGGCAGCAAGGCAGGAATAAGGGGCGCCAGCGGGTTGGGGCCTGCAGATCAGAATTGAGGGGTGCCAGTTGAGTTGGGGGGGCTGCAGGTCGGGATTGAGGGGCACCAGCAGGTTGGGGCCTGGGGGTCAGGACTGAGGGGTGCCGGTTGAGTTGGGGGGGCTGCAGGTCGGGATTGAGGGGCACCAGCGGGTTGGGGCCTGGGGGTCAGGATTCAGGGGCGCTAGTGGGTTGGGGCCTTGGGGTTGGGATTGAGGGTTGCTGGTTGAGTTAGGGGGGGCTGCAGGTCGGGATTGAGGGGCGCCAGCAGGTTGGGGCCTGGGGGTCGGGATTGAGGGGTGCCGGTTTTGTTGGTGGGGCTGCAGGTCGGGATTGAGGGGCGCCAGCAGGTTGGGGCCTGGGGGTCGGGATTGAGGGGTGCCGGTTTTGTTGGGGGGGCTGCAGGTTGGGATTGAGGGGTGCCGGTTGAGTTGGGGGGGCTGCAGGTTGGGATTGAGGGGTGCCGGTTGAGTTGGGGGGGCTGGGGGTCGGGATGGAGAGGCGCCAGTTGAGTTGGGGGGGCTGCAGGTTGGGATTGAGGGGTGCCAGCGGGTTGGGGCCTGAGGGTTGGGATTGAGGGGTGCCAGTTGAGTTGGGGGGGCTGCAGGTCATGCTGCCCCTTTAAGTCCCTTGATGTTTTGTCTCCTCCTCCTTTGACATCACAATGGGTTGTCATGGGAACGGCTCTGATCAGCTGGTGCAGTCGGTGGGGGATTGAGCTGGGGGGGGTCTGGGCAGAGCGGTGGGGGGGGCGGTGATGGCAGTGGAGGGGATGGGAGAGAACCCCCCAGATAATCTCACCCCATGGGCCTAGACCCCCCCCCAGCCCCTCCCACCAAACTGCAACCCCCCCAGTGCCGGCAGCAGTGAAGGATTGTGGGTAACCCCCAGGCTGAGGAGGGGCCCTGTCCAGAGAGTGTTCTGGGCTGTACCCCCCATAGCTGGGATCCCCCCAATCCCCCCCACACGCCCCACGCTGCCTGGGAGGGGGCGTCAGGGGGACCAGGGGCAGTTCCCTTCACGCCCTCCAGGGGGCGCTGGCAGCATCACCCGCCTCATCCCCACCCCCCAGGGCTCCATTCAGCTCCAGCTAATCAGGCGTTGCCATGGCAGCCGGCCACCGCGATTTGCATATCCGAGTCCTTAAATATTTGGCTGAGAGGCGGAGATGGGGGGGCTGGAGATTGGGGGGGGGCAGAGAACTGGGGCCTGGGACCCACGTGGCCCCTCCCCCCACAGGTTAACACCCCTCGGCCCCTGACAGGAGGGGGTGACGGAGGCCAAGCTTGGGGTGGGGGGCAAGGAGGGGGCTGGCACAGGGGTGGCTTGTGGGGGGCAGTGGGATGGGGGTAATTGGAGGGACCTGCATGGGGCTGGTTTGTGGGGGGCAGTGGGGTGGGGGGTAATTGGAGGAGGGTTGGGATGGGGCTGGCTCACCGGGGGCCAGTGGGATAGCGGGTAATTGGGGAGGCTGGCACAGGGGGTGGCTTGCCAGGGGCAGTGGGGTAGGGGGTAATTGGGGGGCTGGCCCAGGGGCTGGCTCGTGGGGGGCAGCGGGCAGGTGAAGACGAGCCGGAGGAGACGCCAGAGCAGAAAAAGGGGGTGCAGGCCGCGGAACAAGACAGAGGAGAAAGGGGAGAAGGGGGAATGTCAGGAAGGGGGCAGGCGAAGGGGCAATGGGGGGTAGGGCAGGGGGGCAGGAAGGGCTGAATGGAGAAATCGTCGCTCGTTCGTTCATTCACTCCCACACTCCGGGCGGGGGTCCCGCGGGGGTCACGGCCTCACTCGGGCCGGAGCCAAGGGGCAGCAGATGGGAACGAAGCAAGGGGGG